ATGTCAGCATGAATTCATGGTTTTTAAGACACAGAGAGACAGAAATATATAGAGAGAAATACAGAGAAATAGAGCTACAGAGAGAGAAACAGGGTTCCAGGGGGAGAGAGAGAGAGGTGGCACCCTCCCCCCCACCACCACACACACACACCTGCTTCCTAGCTGTTAACTGACAGGGCCTGCAAGCAAGACAAGCTGATGGCAATGCCACGTGGTGCCCAGACCTTGCTTTCTTTTTTTTTTTTTTTTTTTTTTTTAATTTATTTCTAGGAGAGAGAGAGAGACAGCTTGAGCAGGGGAGGGTCAGAGAGAGAGGGAGTCACAGACTGAAACAGGCTCCAGGCTCTGAGCTGGTAGTCAGCACAGAGCCCGCCGCGGGGCCCGAACCCACGAACTGCGAGATCATGACCTAAGCGAAAGTCGGACGCTTAACCGACTAAGCCACCCAGGCACCCCCAGACCTTGGTTTCTAAGTACAGTTCTCCACCGAAAGGAATCAGGGCTCCTCGAGGAAAATGGTTAGTTCTAAGACTGAAACGGGGAGCAATGAGATGAGCCTGTCATGTCTTACTGGGCCAGAGAGCAAAGAAGTGCTCAAATGATGGAGAATGTCAAAAGGACATAGAAGTCATCCTGCAGGCCACATCGGGGACAGTCTAAGCAACAAAATTAACGGGCTTAATAACAAATAAAGAAGGAATGTATGAGCCCACATCGAAATGAATAAATGGACAAATAAGTCATGAAGAGGAAGTTTCGTTTTACAGAAGACTTCTGAATAGTAAACATGGAAGAAATGTCAGAATTAGAAAAATCACCAATTTGGTTGGCACCAGTGTCAGAATGTCAGACAGTGATCTGAGGACGCTAACATGAGCAGGTGCATGCATGATGAGAAGCATACTTTACATAGTCTCAAAGTATCTCCCCATATCTTGTACTTTCATTTTAAAAAATTTTTTTAACATTTATTTATTTTTGAGAGACAGAGAGAGACAGAGCATGAGCAGGGGAGGGGCAGAGAGAGGAGAGACAGAATCCAAAGCAGGCTCCATGCTCTGAGCTGTCAGCACAGAGCTCGACACGGGGCTCAAACCCATGAACTGTGAGATCATGACCTGAGCCAAAGTCGGTGCTTAATTGACTGTGCCACCCAGGCACCCCTTACTTTCATTTTCATTTTTTAAGTGAAACATTGATATTTTTTATTCCATTGAGTAAAAACTCTTAAAAATATTTCACATAAGACTTACACAAAAATGGTCGTCACAACCCTGTTTGAATAGCAAACACTGGAAGCAACCCGAAGGCCCAGCGTCAGGAGAATGGGTATATAAACCGTGCTAGGTTCATGCAAGGAGATACCATCAAAGGGACAAACAAACGAAGCCCAGCTATAAAGCATCGAGATCATCTGTGCATCTCGAAGCTTGGTTTCGAGACCATCAGTATCACCTGCAGGCTTATTAACCATGCTACCCCAACTCCCCATTACCTACTGGACTAGAAACTGAGGCCAGGCAGGGGGGTGGAGGGCGGGGAGTACAGTAGGTCAGTTTTAGAAGGCCTCCAGGTGAATCTGATAGGCTCAAGTTAGAGAGCTACTGTTGTGGATGGATGTCACAAGCACCTGGGCAAGACGGGCTGAGGGGCGCCTGGGTGGCCTAATCAGTTGAGCATCCAACTTTGGCTCAGGTCATAATCTCACGGTTCGTGGGTTCGAGCCCCACATCGGGCTCTGTGCTGACAGTTCAGAGCCTGGAGCCTGTTTCAGATTCTGTGTCTCCCTCTCTCTCCGGCCCTCCCCTGCTCACGCTGTCTCTCTCTCTCAGAAATAAATAAAAAAACCTTAAAAAAAAAAAAAAAAGACGGGCTGGTCGCTGAGTACAATAGCCCCTTCCTTTAAAAGTCGAAGGGGCACCTGGCTGGCTCAGTCAGTTAAGCATCTGACTTCAGCTCAGGTCATGATCTCGCAGTTCGTGAGTTCAAGCCCTGCGTCGGGCTCTCTGCTGACAGCTCAGAACCTGGATCCTGCTTCGGATTCTGTGTCTCCCTCTCTCTCTGCCCCTCCTCCCTCCTCCAAAATAAATAAAAACATTAAAAAAAAATTTTTTTTAAGCCACCTGGGGGTGCCTGGGTGGCTCAGTTGGTTGAGCGTCCCAACTCCAGCTCAGGTCATGATCTCACCTCTCATGAGTTCAAGCCCCGTGTCAGGCTCTGTGCTGACAGCTCAGAGCCTGGGGCCTGCTTTAGATTCTGTGTCCCTTTCTCGCTCTGTCCCTCCCCCACTCATGTTCCATCTCTCTCTCTCTCTCTCTCTCTCTTAAGAATACATAAAACATTAAAAAAAATTTTTAAGTGAAAACCTGACTAACCAGAATAACAGTGCTCATAACTAAAAATACGGTAAAGCTATAAAAAGAAAAGCAAGAAATGATTAATCCAAGTTACTCCATGGAGGAAAGAGGGTAAAGTATGTGGAAGGTGGTCTCTGAGAACGACGGTGCTTTACTTCTTTCATCAGGCAGGGGGTACGAGAATCTTTTCATCTCTTTCTCTCTCTCTCTTTTTTAATGTTTTATTTATTTTTGAGAGAGAGTGCAAAGCAGGGGAGTGGCAGAGAGAGAGAGAGAGAGAGAGAGAGAGAGGAGGACAGAGGATCTGAAGCGGGCTCCGCGCTGACAGCAGAGAGCCCGATGTGGGGCTCAAACTCACCAGCTGTGAGATTGTGACCTAAGCTGAAGACAGACACCCAACCTACGGAGCCCCCAGGCGCCCAACCCCCACCATGTCCTAAATGATGGGGGATGATGGTAACTTTACAAAGAACAAGACAGTCACCACGTTACCAAGTCATCACATTTAATTAACATCGGGGAAAACCATGCCATGCCCCTGCAAGGAGGCACTGAGGAGGCCGCCCAGCACGGCTCTGGTCTTGCCGCAAAGGCAAGTGCACCCGGAATTTAATCCTAAGGAAACATTAGACAGACGCCAGCTGAGGGACGTCCTACAAGACACTCTTCCAAAATGTCAAGGTCAAGGAGGACAAGGAAACACTGAGCTGTTTCAGACTATAGGTGATTAAAGAGAAATGACCATTAAGCACAATGTACTTTGGATTCTAGACCAGAAAAATGTTTATTATAAAGGACGTTAGTGGGAAAATTGATGAAGTTTGAATGTTTGTAAATTAGATAATCATGAAATGTCAATTTTACATTCCTGACTGGGATAATTACAGTGTGGCCGTGCTCTGTTTTTGGCAAATACTTGCTGAAGGGTTTGGATGCAAAGGGCACCAGATCATCGACTTTTAAAGGGTTCAGAATAAAAACATGTGCACGTTTGTGTGTCTGTGAACGTGTGTGTGGGTGCAGTCAAGTATGGAAAGAGAGAAAATGATAAAGCAAATGTGGTAAAACATTAACATCTGGGGAAGCTGGGTAAACAACATACGGAAAATCCTTGCCCTATTTTTGCAAACTTATTCTAGAAGTCCGAATTATTGCAAAATAACAACTTTAAATAATTAAAAAATCTTTTTAATATTTATTTGTTTTTGAGAGAGAGAGAGAGAGAGAGAGAGAGCGCGCGAGCGAGCGAGAGCTCAAGAGCAGGAGGGCCAAATAGAGGGAGACACAGGATCTGAAGCAGGCTCTGCACAGAGTCCGACGCGGGAGTCAAACTCACCGTGAGAACCAGGAGACCATGACTTGAACCAAAACCAAGAGTCGGCCGCTTAACCAACGGAGCCACCCAGGTGCCCCCAATTTTAAGTAATTTTTAACTTGCCATTTGTCCACAGAAACCAGGAATATTTAGTTTTCATCAGTAGCTTCTTGCCGACAAACCAAAAGCACTCACTGTAGCAATAACTCACCCTAACAAGAAACAGTTCCTAGCAAAGCCTTGACATTGGCTGCTCTAAGTTAAAGAAAAACCACCTATTGTCCATCCTTCCTCTCTCCAAGTTAGAACAAGGAAGCCTCAAAGGTAACAAACCACCCGAATGTGGCAATGTACAGTAGAAAGTATTCTTATAATTCCAACTCGGGAAAGTATGTGACTTTTGTTAGACAAATTATCCAATCCCTCTGGGCCACAGCTTTACCATCTGCTCAATGACAGGGTTCTGTCAGATTATCTTTATGGTCTATTCCAATTCTCACTTCATAAGAATCCATACATGAATTTTGTAATAAACATACTTACTACTTGCTTTATAATTGAAAAGTAAGATAGGGATACCACAAAAATAATTCTGGAAGTTCAAGTAGAACCGCAGCCCGGACAATACATTTTTCATGAACTACCTACCTGAATTCTATCCCCCAAACTAGAAATGTATGACCTCAGGCAAGGATGATATAGGACCATGGACTTATTTCGTGTGGTCTGGAAAATAAAAATTTTCTTGTGCCGTTGAATTTCTAGAGCTTAACTGGCTTCACCACCCAGCACGTGCAAACACCCTGATCATCAGACTGCTGGGCAGGTAAATAGAGCAATTAATCCCTGTATCTATGGCAAGCAAACAACTGATCACATCTTTTAGAATGTGTAATACGTGCCATGAAATAACTTGAATAGATTTTTATCTATCCCCAAACCCAGCAGAAGAAGAGAAATAAGAAAGATGAGAGCAGAAATAAACAATACAGAATCCCAAAAAGCAGTAGAACAGATCGATGAAACGAAGAGTTGGTTGTTTGAAAAAATAAATGAAATTGACAAACCTCTAGCCAGGCTTCTCAAAAAGGAAAGAGAGTGGACCCAAATAGATAAAATCATGAATGAAAATGGATTTGTCACAACCAATCCCTCAGAAATACAAGCAATTATCAGAGACTACTCTGAAAAATTATACGCCAACGAACTCGACAACCTGGAAGAAATGGACAAATTCCTAAACGACCATATCATTATTAAAACTGAACGCTGTTAAATATTTAAGTAACACAAAGGGCCACACATGGAATTTCCTCGTGGCTACTCACCTGAGAGCTCTTGCCACATTTAGCGTCTCCTGAAACGATCACAATTTGATTCTGAAGCAGATTCTCCATAAAGGAGTATTTTTCTTTCCATATCGGAAGATCTTCTCTTTCTTTTAGAAGTTTATAATAACGTGATGAGTAAGGCAATCCATCAAAAGGGTTCAGCTCCAAGTCCTCGCAGGCCAAAATGCCCTCCTCGTCCCCATCGCTGGAATCGAGCGATTCTGGGAAATAGCGCTTCTCAGACGCAGAGTTTGGACCGTCTAGCTCTTCTTCCATCGTGTCCGAGGGGGAGCTTCAGCAGCTGGCCTCCGACATTCAGGTTCCTCCTACGGCCACCCACCGCCCACCGCCAACGGGGCTGGAAATCTACGGACACAGACTCAGGTGTCTTAATTGCCAAGATCACAGTCTTGCAGCGAGTTGAGCTCCTCAAGACTGCATCTGGTCGTCTCTGCCGTGTCCCCTACGGTGCTGGCTCACTGAGTGCTCTTTTGCACGTTAAATGACTGTCAATAAACCATGCTGCAAACAAACAAAGAAGGAAAATCAGATACACATACAAGAGGTGCAAGAGGAAAAGCACAGGTGTTCAAAACAAAAGTGTTAACTGGGTTTTTTTTTTGTTTTTTTTTCTGTGAACGGGCTACGGTCTGTCATTTCTGCTGCCCATTTGAAAGCCTGTAAAGGGATAATTCCGAGGAGCCCTTCAAGTTTGCGCAGCTGCAGTTTTCTCCCGGCCAGCATGGAGACGGTTCCACATGGGACCTGGTGCTCTCGGCCCGGCCCCGATCGCAGGCCCTGACCGCAAGCAACAACTGGGGGGGGGGGGGGGGGGGGGGGGGGGGGAGCTGGAAGGCTCTAATCCCACTATTGGAAATGGTAGACCCTGGAACAAGGAAGGCTCTGAGGGTCCAGTAGGGGTTCCCCCAATACTGGTTACAAGACAGTCTATGTATTTTTTTTTTTAATTAAGAAATCCTCTCGTTTAAAAGAGAGTATTTTTTAAAACTTCATTTTACATGTGGCTGTGCCAGTTTACAACGTCAGGCGAGGGAAGTGGATTTATTTTTTTTCCACTTGAGGCTATCACTAGCTTTTATTAATAAGGTCGTGTGTGTGTGTAATTAAACCAGAAATCTCAAGCATGTTTCTTGAGGTTCCAGGGTCCTGAGCCCGAAATGTCAGATTCAAGAGGCAATAAAAGAAACATTTATTTTAAACGGAGAAGAGACACTCCCCCAGCCAGGGCAAATCGACACCAGTAACTTGTTCCCTAGCGATCTTCCTAGTCAGGAGTGGTTTTTTAAAATATTTTAAAAATATTATTTCAATATTGCTGAAAATAAGCCTCGTTTCACATTAAGCAGGTGAACACTAAAAAGGCAGAAAAACTCAAGCAAAAAAGAACAAAGCATAAAATGCCATTCATGATACTGTCAGTTAAATTCCTCTTTTTACAGCCCTCCATTTATCCTAACTATTGCTTTGGACCGTTGGGGTTCAAAGGGCTAACTCCTCATCCCAGATCATAAAAAAGGCTTCCCTACTGGTCAGGCCAGGCTCCAGGGAAACAGTCAAACACTCTAGAAACACTTGCTCAGTGCCTCCTCAGGGCCTCAGTTAATAAAGTAGTCATGACACACACACATAAGGATACTTTTGAGGTCAGGACCAAGAGTTTTAAAACTCCCACACAAATAGGCCAAATGAGGGAGAAACTAATAACCAGAGGTGGGGGTAGGGGGCGGGGAAGGATGGTGGAGCTCCTCAAAGGTGGAGTTCTTCAAAGTTCATCTGGAAGCCATTGTTTCAAAATTAAAACGGAATTACAGTGATGTAATAACACCAATGTAACATGGATTAACGTCCAAGCTCTTTGCCGTCCCCATGGGTGAGACCAGGGCCATAGAACAGTGCAAGAAACAAGGTGACTTGAGATCAAAGGACAAGCTAACTTTGAGCAGGTATCTAGGAATCAGAAAATCCCACTGCTGAGGGGACGTTAACATTTAGTTTTATATTCAACTTTTTCTTGATTCTGATTAGAATCCCTTCTAAGGGTTCTCATTCTACACGTAAACTAAATTGTTACTATGACCAATGACTGCTGTAGGCACTATTTCTCAACGGCTTTATCAAAAAAAGAAAAAAAAAAAAGCACATCTATTATTTTAACCAAATATACACCCTTGAAAGGCTTCTCTTAGTTTTACAATACTCCTTAAAGGTGCAATTATCTTGTAATTAAAGTAACATCTTATTTACAAAGGATGGAGCACTTTGGACCCTCGGGCAACAGTCAAGTTTTCTGAACAGGCATCTTTCTAGAAATCTCAGGGTCCCCTCGCCCCTTCAGCGCACACACGCTGTACCGGTACATCACCCACTTCTCTGCCATGGCGGATTCAAGATGGCGGCAGACGCTCTGCCCCTGCTCCCCTGGAAAGGTGGAGTCTATTTCCTTACCCTTCAGTCTGAGCTGGCCCTGTGAATCTCTGCGATCAAAAGAATGCAGTCAAGTGATGCTGAACCACTTCCAAGGTATTCGCATGCCTGAAACACCCCTGTTGGAGCCAACTGTTAGTGTGTGAGACGCCCAAGCCACTTCAAGAGGCCACTGGGAAGAGACCAAAGCTGGCCGTCTGCTGACAGAAAGCACAGACATGCCATGTCCAGATGACCACAGGCTCAGCCAACACAACAGCCAGCAAAAGCAGCACCCACAGGAACCCAGTCAACCCAAAGAACACAGCGTCACTGTTTCCGGAACCTACCAGGGTAGTTTGTTTTGCAGCAACAGATAACCAAAGCTCTGCCTACTGAAATGATCTAACTTTCTCTTCATGACTCAGAGTCACCATGACATCAATTCCTAAAGAGAATGTCCTCAGACTTCCCTTAAGCGTCCAGGGGTCAGAGGCCAGACTGCTGGTCTAAAGACCGGCTTTTCTGCAAGGATTCAGTACCTACTTCCTACTGTGGTTCACGTGCTTGCCCGGTGAGGCGCCTCTCTGTTTCTAACCTGCCCTCCTACCCAGCATGTTAGAAACCAGTTAAACTTGTTTGACAGAAAGGCATGTAAAGGCTGAGTCCTCAGCAAGTTCTATATCGAATCCAAGGAGTCTGAGCAAAGCTGGGAAGTCTGTGACCTCTATTTTCACCACTCAGATGGACTTCTTGCAGCTCGATAGTTTGGAGCTCCAGGTTTAGACGGGCAGTGGCTGACTTTTCATGATGTCCAACACCTCTCTGCATTGATCCTGCAACTGACGTGAGCCATGCCAATGTTTTCTTGGATATAATTAAATGTACATACAAAAGACCCATGCTTCGGCCATCGGCAAATAATACCAGCCTAAGTAAGGGAAACAAAAATGGTAGGTGACATGCCACCCAAAATAAAACTTAATATTGTTCTGCTAGCCGTAGAAACTACATTGTACTCCGAGAGTCTGCAAGATTAGGGATTTGCTCCTTTTTCAAAGCTATCTTACCTACAAACTGGGGACTGCATAATTTGTTGAGGACTGGCCTTTGAAGTGAGTCTATTCCAACTTTTAAACGAGCGTTTATAAAATAATACAGACCTAATGTAACACGAAACCACCTCAACAACAAAGAATCCGAAGTTGATGTAAGATGAGCTACACCTTAGTCATTCAGATGCTTGGCGCTGGTGCAGTAATTCTAGAAATACGGTTCACAGAACAGGAAAGATAAAGTTTGCAAGGGGTTAAGTAAAACAAGGTTGTGAAATCTGTCCTGAGGAAGTCTGGTTTAGGTTTCACAGTTCAATGCTCCTCTTCTTCATTTTCCTCCATGTTCCATTCGCTGTAAATATACATTCCTCACACCCATCAAATTCTCAAATGTACAACTTTCGGACTTTGCAGAAATCTAACAGGGCCAGGGCGGTCTCATCCAGTCTCAAGGCTTCAAAGCCATCCGTACATGGAGGACTTCCACTTACAGGCCCTGTCCATCCTGGCTCTTAAACTTCAGTCTCCTGTGTCCAACTATCGACTCGTCACCTCCAACTTGGATATGTGACAGGCATTTCAACACGTCCTAAACCGAGCTCCTGATGTTTTCCCCAAAGCCACAAACCTGGTCCTCTCCTTCGTGATTACTTCCTCCTTTTCAATTGCTCAGACTCAAAATTTTGGAGTTATTCTTGATTTCTCTTTATCTCAAATTCCCCTGCCTACAAAGACGTGCACATCCTAATCCGCGGAACCTATAAATCTGTACTTGTGTGCCAAAAGGGGACTGTAGATGTCAAAGTTACAGACCTCAAAATAGGGCACCTATCCTGGGGAGCCCAATCTAATCGTGAGTTCTGAAACCAGAAGACCTTTCCCAGGTATAGTCGGAAGGAGGCAGGACTATGGAAGAAGGGTCAGAGGGATGCAGTGCTGCTGGCTTTGAAGATGGACGGAGAGCCACGAGCCAGGGAACGGCGTGGGTAGGCTCTAAAAGCTGACAAGGAAATGGATTCTCTCCTAGAGTCTCCAGAAAGGAACACAGCCCTGCTGACCCCTCGGTCTTTTTTTTTTTTTTAATGTTTATTTTTGAGAGAGAGAGAATATGTGCGTATATGAGCAGGGGCGGGGCAGAGAGGGAAGGAGACACAGAGTCGAAAGCAGGCTCCATGCACAGCACACAGCCTGATGTGGGGCTCAAACTCACGAACCGTGAGATCATGACCTGAGCCAAAGTCGGATGCTTAGCCAACTGAGCCACCCAGGTGCCCCTGAGCCCTCAATCTTAACCCAGTGAGAATTTTTTTTTTTTTTAATTTCTGAGAGAGAGAGAGAGAGCAGCGGAGGGTCAGAGAGAGAGGGAGACAGAGAATCTGATACAGGCTCCAGACTCTGAGCTGTCAGCACAGAGCCCAACGTGGGGCTCGAACCCACGAATTGTGAGATCATGACCTAAGCCAAAGTTGGACGCTTAACCAACTGAGCCACCCAAGGCGCCCCTTAACCCAGTGAGGATCTTGATGGACTTCTTCCTAGACAACCGTGCCACAGTAACTTACCACCAACTGCAGTGATTTGCTTTAGGAGAAGAAAACGGCTGGATCGTGTCAGTTCTACTTCCCAAATGCACCAAGCACTGGGAGCGGCTGGTCACCTGGACGGCCGCAGCAGCCTCGTGACTGGCCTTCGGCTTGCGCTCTCGGCCCCACTGTCACTCCTCAACCCAGTCGCCGTGACCCCGTTAAAGTCAGCTCATGTTTCCTCTGCTCGAAAGTCTCTACCGGCTTCCCAGCTCCTCTCGCTCCAAGGAAAACCCCAAGCCCTTACCAGGACCGATGGGCCTGGTGGCTCTGGGTCCAGAGAAGGGCCGCAGACCGGTCCATCCCTCCCCCCCCCCCCCCCCCCCGCCCCCGCTCCTCCCACTTCTAGCCCCGTGGCCTTGGGAGGTCATGCTCGCTCCTCTCTCAGAGATGTCCTTTCCTCAGGTGTCCCCAAGGCGAGGACCCTTTCTTTGTAAAGATTTGTATCAAATGTCCGCTCGGTGACATACTGGCCACCCTAACTTTGACTCACACCCCATGGCCCAGACCCACCCCAGCCTCTTTTCCTGCTTTGCTTTTCTCCCCTTAATGCTCACCGCGGTCTAACAAAGTAAGCATTTTTACCTGTTCACCCTGTTTCTGGTTGAAGGCAAGCGCCGCAAGGGACAGAGTTGGGTCTCTCGCTCACTGCAGCCATGGCAAGGCCCGCCACGTACGAGGCCTTTGGGAATATTCGTTGAGGGAAGGCTGTCAGCACCTCAGACATACTTGTACTCGACTTCCCAAGTTGCCCTACGTTGTGTCAGTGACGAAGTCCTTTACAGCTCCTCAGGATTTGGCTCCTCCCATGTCCCTGGGCCTTCATGTCATGCCGGGGTGCTGGTGACAACCTGCTGTCCCCAGGCTTCTGGATTCCTAAAGGCTACGGCCTGAAATGCTGGTGAATTCCCGGATCCACAACTGAAAGGCCGGTACGGGCTCTCGGTTTTCCCTCGAACCATACACCCAAACCGCAGCGAACTCTCGTTTCTCTCGCGCCTTTCTGCAGAGTCGCCGAGCTGCACGGAGAGGTGACGGAGGTGCGCAGCATGCTTGCTGCAGGCCCTCGGCTGTCACAGCTCCCCGGGGCTGACCGTTCCTGGGGAGCAACGTCCTAACGCATCAGGAAACTACTCAACCATCTGCACTACTTACTATCCTTTCCCCGCGTCTGGAGCCTCTGTACTCAGACTGTTGGTGGAGCGATAACCTCTTGGGTAACTTCCACGGTCTGAGCCCAAGCACAGTAGGTGCTCAGTTAGCACTTAGAGGCTGAGCAGATTATGACTGAGTCGCTTTCTGTTCTTCAGGGATTTTCCACTTTTAAGATTAACATCGGTCTGTTTTATTACAGGTATTCATGATCTAAGAGGTTCTCTCTGTTCTCAAGTTTTCTCATCTTCCACACCCAGGTTTCTGGTCTTTCATTCGCTGCCTCAGCCAGGACCTGAGTGTCCACCAAGTGTCGGCCTTGCGGACATGATGGTGCCGCAGAGCGAACAGGCGGGTCTGGTTCCTGCCCTCAGGGAGCTTACTGTCCCGCCAGGAAGAGCACAGGATGTGACACAGAGATGATCTGGGACATACGGACTTAGTCTTATGGTCCAGTAACTAAAAGAAGGAAGATGTGGCTGGTACGTCAAAGGAGGGAGAGAGACTCTCGTACACAGGGGTTCACAGGGGGAGACGGGGCCACATCACAAAAGACCTGATGTGCTGAAGTTTTGGTGTTTTAAGTGCCAGGGGTATAACTCACCCGGTCATTTCTTAATCCAAACTTTTATTTTTTATGCTTCTGACTTTCTTTATAATTCTCCTCCTAAATTTGACGTATTACTCTATTTTTTAATACTAAAAATTAGAATTTTCTTTAAAAAATTTTTTTAATGTTTGTTCATTTTTGAGACAGAGAGAGACAGAGTGTGAGCAGGGGAGGGGCAGAGAGAGAGGGAGGCACAGAATCCGAAGCAGGCTCCAGGCTCTGAGCTGTCAGCACAGAGCCCGACGCGGGGGTCAAGCTCAAGAACCGTGAGATTGTGACCTGAGCCAAAGTCGGACACTTAACCGACTGAGCCACTCAGGCGCCCCTAAAACTTATAATTTTCTTAAAGTCATTAGTGAATCCCGTTGTAGGAGAGCTGGTAACAGTTCAAGGCAAAAGGCAGGATGGAACAGACAATGGGGTTATGATCTGGCTTATCCCAGCAGGCCAATAAGTCATTTTCACTTAAAAAAATTTTTAAGATTAAAAACTAAGTAACATTTCTTGAGCATTTTAAATCATTTTCCCACAGGTCTATGAAAATAGTCTGTTCTGTCATCTAATTTACAGCCATCCATCTCCACTCTTTAGAAAAAGGGTTGTGGGAGAAAACAAACGAACACGCACGCACACACACCTACCTTACCTTTCAAAAAATTATTATTTGTATAGGACTCCCCAATCTGTCCTGACACTATCTGACCCACAAATTTTTCTTGAAGAATCAGTGCTAATAGGTATTGAAACTTTAAAAATATTTTAGGATCTATGCAATGTCTTTTTGTATTCTATACTGCAGTAAATTTTCTATTACTAATATACCTGCATACAGGATCAAACAGAACCAGTCATTAAAAAAAAAGTAAGGATGAATCTTCTATAAATACTAAACTTAATAAGCTGTACTTTTTGTCATTTGTATCCCAAAACTCAGATATTCCCTAGTATCTCAGATTTCCGAATCTCCTAGGAGAAACACCGCCCTCAATAAAGTGAGCTCTGATCTCTATTATAGTCTTAAGTGCTGAAAAATAAAAATAATTCTGGCCATTTTTGGGAGCAACTTCGTAAAAGGACACATCTGTGTGTGGAACCTCTGGCCCCAAGCTGTAATATGAACACACTCGATACACATCCACCAACATGATTATTCACGTTTTCACTTTGTCCTCTGGCTCTGGGCTCACGGCCGACTTCCTAAAGCCAAGATCCATTTCCGAGCCCTCTTTACTACTTCTATGAAATAAGATACAAGGCTTTGTACAGACTGCGTGATCAATAAATACGTGCTGAAATAAACAATATCCTTATAACCCCTAATCATAAGGTTCAGAACAGAGAAGGGTAACGAGGCATTACGAGTGACTAGTGACTGTCTTCAGGGTAAAAGGCTATTATTTTTTAGAGAACAGGATCACTGACCCAACATTCCGTGCCAATTCTGTTCAAAATGCTTATTTGTGGCAATACCAGGAGCTTGCACTGAATGTAAATCAATGCGTTGCTTCCTTCATTGAGAAGTCTTGCTACTAAAAATGTCAGCTCAACAAAACGACATGATCAGGGCCACAGCCTATGGACATCTAGCACAAGCCCTTTGTCTCACGTCAGACCAGGAACGCTCTGTGCACAGAGGCCGGACTGCAGACCACACTTTGAGAAGCATGGTTCTATCCTGCCGTTAAAGTTGGACCCATAACAATAACGGCAATGATGATTACCAATCAGCCTTTACAGAGTGTGCTTACTGGGTGCCAGACGTTCTAGGTACTTAAACACCGTGTACGGATTCTTTCACTGAAATTCTTAAAGACCCCATGAGGGTTTGCTTTATTATTTCCATTTTTCAAATGGGGAAATTTAAGCCTTCAGAGCGTTAGTTAATTTCTCCAGCTCCTAATAACTCGTCTGTGATACAGCAGGTGCTTGGAGTCAGGCAGTCTGATCTCTGCGTAACCTTGGTTAAGTGTACAGTGGATGCCTGACCACGCTGTGCCACGCCGCCTCCTGACTGCACACAAGAATGCGGGCTCACGCTGAAACAGCGCGGGCTGAAGAAATACTTGACGCTACGGGGGAATGTCAGGCAGAGTGGTCTGGAAGAAATACCATACACAGAAAATGTGTAGTTCTCTCATGGAAAGAAAACCGTCAAAAAATATTTGAAAACATGGTTGTAATCACCCACGCGGAGTTACAGTCAAATATTTAATATGTAAAGTTTATCTCCCAGGCACGTTATACTTTAATGGAAACAATGGGCTTATCATTACTATGACTTTTAGAAGGTTACCCCATTGTTTGCCTTTCTTTTAATTGGCTCAGAGCTCCCCAATGCACATCCCTTTTGGTTTCTAGTATCTACTTCAAACCTTTCTTGAACAAGATAGAAGTTCAGAATTTATTGTTCATAGCAGCACTCTCCACAATAGCTAAAACATGGAAACAGCCTAAGTGTCCATCAACCGACGAATGGATCAAGAAGATGTGGTTTATCTATACCATGGAATACTACATGGCATTGAGAAATAATGAAATCTGGCCATGTGTAGCAACATGGATGGACCTTGAGGGTGTTATGTTGAGCGAAATAAGTCAGGCAGAGAAGGACAAATATCATATGCTTGCACGTATAGGAGGATTAGGAGGAACTTAACGGAGGAACAAGGGGGAGAAGAAGGGGGGAAATGGTGGGGGAAAGGGAGAGAGGCAAACCATGAGAGACTCTTGAATGCTGACAAAAACTGAGGACTGATGGATGTGGGGGGGAGGGGGGATGGGCATGGAGGAGGGCACTTGTGGGGATGAGCACTGAGTGTTATGTGGAAACTAATTTGACAATAAACTATTTGTAAAAAAAAAAAAAAAGTAAAAAAAAAAGTTCAGAATTTATTTAAAAAAAAACAAAAACCCAACTTTATCTCCAGACTTCTAACAAATTGACTTTGTTTTAAGTAAGCAAATTAAATCGATTGGCTTTTTCAAAACACAGAAATTTTAAAAATGATTCACTTTGAACTCAATCTTGGTTCATTCCAAATACAGCCTGAATAACCAGTCCTGCACAATTAATGTAAGAATCCTATATTCCACTGGTAATTTAAGAGTTTTTAGACTTCTATATAGGAAGGTATCCCAAGCTCAATCAGTACTTCTGTATCATAACCTATAACTTCTTATATGTAAATTAGGCAAGAGTTTCATTAGAATTTCAAATGACTAGGCCATTCAGTGCTTTCAATATTGTTTTGTTTTACTGAGCAAGGCTCTAAAAGATAATACCTGACTAAAAGTTTGCTAAAATATTAATCTGGCTTATTTGTGCAGCCTAGTTAGATATCTGAGCAAATGGGTGAGATCTAGCAAAAGCTGAAATCTTAAGAATAGGTTATTGCCAGTCTTCACTAGGAAGTTAACACAGCTATTTTACCTCCAACAAATACAAAAGGAACATTTATCCACCTTTTTGTAGAGGCAGAATTTGTTTGGGGCATCACTCTGACTCCTGAAGCCACGTTTTCCTCAAACTGTTGTTCCAAATGGAGATTGTGAAAAACCACAAAAATCAGGAGATTTTCTTTTCTTGCTAACAAGGTAACAGATAGTCATTTTGCAGTAACTTTAATAAGCCAATAATAGTTTGATTCTGTTTTATTAACCTTTCCACATTTTCAGCCTCTTTTGGCCAAGCGTCTTTCATCCCCTTGGGATCTTCCGCTGCCCCTCCCCCCACGTCAAATAACCGTGGACCCCAGGGTTCCATCCTTGACTGTCTCTTCTCATCCCACATCCTCTTCTTGGGAGAAAATCATTCATATTTTTACTTCAATTACTGAATGCTTCAAGTTCTACCTTAATCTCAGACTTCTTTCTTTAGGTCCTGACCTTCAAATCCAACTACTACTTAAGGGACGTCCCAATTTATTAGATGGGAATTCAAAGGAACCGAACTCCTTAAAAGAGTTTTTTCCTTAAAAAGAGAAAAGCCCTCTTTCCTTCTTCTGTGTTCTGGATTTTAACAATGAGCAGAACAATTCCCCCTGTCACCTGGGCATCATCCCTGCCTTCTTCTGCCGCTTCACATCCTGCGGCACCAAAACCACCAAAACTGGCTAATCGGATCGCTCTCAGAGGGCCCTCCTCCCTACCCACCCCCAACCCCCCCGACCGCCATTGTCGTTTGCTCGTTTCTTCATGGAATTACTACAAAACCTCCAATTTTGTTTTTTTCTGCCTCCGGTTCTGGCTCTCCACCAATCTGTCCTTCACGTGCGGCCAGTGGCCCCTTTCAAATGGAGAAGCAATCACGTCACTGACCCAAATCCTTCTCATTACCATCAAGATAAAAATCTCACTCTTTTGGTTCTTTCTGATTTAATGCCTATCTGCCTTTCAGCTCTACTTCCTTCTATGCTCTTCTAGTAAGTTCTCTCTACTCCAGCCACAGCGAACGCCTGCTTAGAGTTGCTTTCCCGAGCTTCTGCACCTTTGCCCAAGCCGTTCCTCTGCCCAGGAAGCCCGCCCACACACCCGTCGGTCATTTCCTACCCCCTTTATGAAGAGCAACCCGCAGGAAGTTGCCAGCACATCACGGATGTTCAATAAATGTTTGCTATACGCCTACAAAGACAACCATTTATGTTTAAGGAGTCCTTTACAATGTACAAGATGTTTGCACTCATATCTGTAATCATCACATTTAATGGACTTCGATTTCACAGCCGGACTGCTGGACAATCGCTGATCTCACTTTTAGTGAGTCCTCTTTTTAGTATTATCCTAAACGAGCAGGTTTACACTGAAAACCCCGCACGAGCTGAAAGCGGTACTGGACTCGGCTCCTCAAATGTTTAACCAGAGGCATAGCCCCAAGCACATCACGCGGGAGAAACTCTACCAGGGAGTACAGCCCAGGGCCGGAAGCCAAACTGGCTAGTGCCCCCAGGAGGCAACAGAGGAGTGCATGTTGTGGGCATTGGCCTAATCCTGGAAGACTTTCCAGATGCAGGGGCAGCATGGTTCTGCTGCCCAATTATATGAAGAATGAGTCAATGCTGAAAGAGCATTACTGGAACCCAACTATTTGAGTGCAGACCTCTACAGGTCTGAAGGGCAAAGAGGAAGCAAGCAGACTGGAATTTGTTTTCTTCCTTGACTGAACTTTTGCAAGTTTCACAAACCAGTGGAGATGGGGCGCCTGGGAGGCTCAGTCGGTTGAGAATCCAACTTGGGCTCAGATCCTGATCTCACAGTTAGTTTAGGGGTTCGACCCCCGCATCAGGCTCTGCGCTGACAGCTCGGAGCCTGCCTCGGATTCTGTCTCCCTCTCTCTCTGCCCATCCCCCACTCACACTCTGTGTGTGTCTCAAAAATAAATAGACATTAAAAATTTTTTTAAAAAAAGAAAGTAGCAGAGAAAAAGAGAAAAAAGTACCCTCATTCTAGCAAAACAAAAAACAAAAATCCAGTAACAAAAACGAAAACTTCCTCTGAACTTCTTTTCTTTAAAAAAAAAAAATCATCCTATCTGCATTAAATGATGTTAACTTTCTACAACAATTATTTTTGCTTTGAATTATTGCAGCTAAGAGATTTAAGTACGAAAAACAAAGGCTATGTCTGTCCCTTCATTCCTACCTTATTCCCTGGTGACAGTGCTTTGGTTTGCTACATTTAGTTAAGCATCAGCAAAGTTAATAATGTAACAATTCTGTCTAATTTGACGAGCTTGGCAACTTCATCAGAAATCAGGACTTTATTGTTTTCCACCTGGCCACCAATTAACATCCTGAACATGCCAATGGAAACAAACAGAAAACACGTGGCAGAAAATCCCCCAAAAAGGGCAACCAATACCTTTACCCTTCATCTCAACCCCGCCCATTAGCAACTTTCTGACCTCAGAATGGTTCCTCCACAATAAAGCATATCCCTTTATCTAAAGCAATTTCTCTAAAATACTCTTTTCACTCATTGAACAAATAACAAGTATACTGGATTAGGTGCTGGAGGGAGAAAGAAACGAATGTCCTTTTTAAACATTTTCATACCTTTCCCTCCTCCACTCCCACCCCCTCAACCGGTTACTTCTTCCCTAAACACACTATCCCCCAAAGTAAAATGTGGCTTTTCACAGTTGCCAGCCACCTATTACCTGAAATATTTCAATGCAAGGCTTCCTCAATGTCAAGTTCATAGCTACTGATAAAATCATTTTTCCATACTGCTAAGCATAAAGTGCCTTCCCAACACACATCTCCATTTTTCCAACCTTAAAATCTGCTTGCAACCACCAAATGCTTGAGTCCTTGTTACTTCCGAATGGAGAGCTACAATATTGTTTCTTTGTTATTCTTTTTACACTCAAATGCCAAATCCTTTCCTGTTTGAGAAAATACAATCCTGGGGCGCCTGGGTGGCTCAGTTGGTTAATCGCCTGACTTCGGCTCAGGTCATGATCTTATGGTTCTTGGGTTCAAGCCCCACGTCAGGCTCTGTGCTGACAGCTCAGAGCCTGGAGCTGCTTCAGATTCTGTGTCTCCCTCTCTCTCTGACCCTCCCCTGTTCACGCTGTCTCTCTCTCTCTCTCTCTCTCTCTCACTCACTCAGAAATAAATAAAACATTTTTTAAAAAAGAGAGAGAAAATACAATCCTACCTCGTTTATGTGTTCATAAAGTCCAGGTTTTTATCACTCTCTTGTCCCTTTGATTACGATATTACCAATGACTACCACCATTATGTTGGTTTCTTGGATGAAAAGACCAACTCGCAATTTTGCTAATGGTATGAAAACTAGCATTTGAAAACACTGGTACTACAGAAGCGCTTAGATGCTGTCTAAAAACACATCCCTGTGTCTAAGCTTCGGGGACAGGTCATTATGGTGCCACGAAGTGTTTACTTTCCAACCTGAATTTATTACTCCAATATTTTAGCTTATGAGTTAAGGGTTCTGTATATATCACACTGCTTGTCAATATCCACGCATAAACCTTCTTGCTTTGACAATTCATCTGAAAAAGACCCAATACAGTCTGAGAGGGGAGCCTAGTTTGGTGGAACATAATAAATATCCAATCCCATCATAGAATATGTGCTTCTCAGGTTCAATTAACCTCTGAACGATTCTCTAAGAGGAAAGTAATTTACCTTGGTTTCCTTGTCACCTACGGAGTGGAAATCTCTCTAGTGGCAAAGAATGAGCAATGGCTCCCACGACCCAAAAAGGGCTCTTCAGGAACTCAGAGCGCAGCGACCCCAGCACTGCATCAATCACGCAGCTTCCACACGCCCGCTCTTGCCTTCTCGATCTTGTCTCTTCCCCCTCCTCCATTTTTCTTTCCTCTTCAAGGCTCGTTCTTCTTCATCTTTGACTCTGTCCCGGCTGTTGGCATATGTACAGCCTACCAGGCCCAACGCCGTGCGCTGCAAAGCGTCCTGACCGCGCAACCGGCGCCAGCACTTCAAACCCCAATGGCTGGAGGGGGGCACTTGTGGGGATGAGCACTGGGTGTGACACGGAAACCAACTTGACAATAAACTATTTGTAAAACAAAAACAAACAAAAAAACCCCAATGACTGGGATGCTATTGTGTGCGATACTGTGACGTTTGCTTAACAGCCCTACGAAGTTTGGTACAAAATACGCGGACTGAGTCCACAGCTCAACGGACCACGGGGAGGCCTGAAATAAACAACACGCACACAGACACACAGACACACAGACCCAATCCAACCACAAGGCTCCAATCCAGGCCCACTGCCTGCAACGCGATCCTAGGGATGACAGTGCAATGTGGGCAACGGAATTCTCCCGGGCTCCAGGGCTCCTGGGACACACTCGGCCCCCTGCCGACCACACAAGGCTCTCGTGTGCTTTATGCCGCCCAGAAATGCGGCCCCGAGGGACCACCCCCCCACCCCCGGCCCGGCCGACGCCCCGGCTGCCGAGGGAGCCCCTGGTGCGAGGGCTGGGGTGCAGGGGCCGCTCCTGCCGCTGCCTCGCGGGCTGCGGGAAGGCACGGGGGAGGCGGCCGTCGCCCGGGCGGTTCCGGGAGTCGGGGCGCGGTCGTCCGGGGCCAACGGGCGGGGGGCCCCCCGAAGCCCGGCGGCCGCAACAGGTGCGCCGCGGCCGCCCGCCCGCCCCTCCCGCCGCCCGCCCGGCCTTTACCTGCGGCGGCGGCTCCCGAGTCCGGGGACGGAGGCCCGGGCCCGGTCGCCCTGCCCAGCCGGGCAGGCCGAGCTCGCCGGACGCACGGACCGACGGACCGACGGACGCCTCGGGAAGCAGACTGGGGGCCCGCCGGCCCCCGCCCCGAAGGCCCGGGCACAGACCCCGCCGGGGCTGCGAGGGCTCCTGGGGGCGCGGCCGTCCGACCGGGCCTCGGGGGGCAGGGTCTCCGGCCGACGACCGGGTCGTCACCCTCGCTCGGTGCCCCCGGCGACGCGCGGGCCCTCGCGCTCGCCCGCGTTTCGGGGCGGTTTTGGTCCCTCCCTCTCGCCGTCCTTCTGGCCCCGCCTCCCCGCCCTCCGCGTTGTCAAGGCAACCCGAGCGACGCCGGCCGCGGAGCGGAGTCGTTAGCACCGGCGGCGGCGGCGCCGGGGGCTCGGCCCGTGGGGGCCCGGGAGCAGCTGAGCATGGAGCCCCAGAGTAAGGGGGCCCCCCGGGAGCGAGGGCGGGCGCCCGGGCGCGGTCCGCCGGCCTTCGACACGGAAACACGGGTTCGCCCTCGCGTTTTCCTCTCCTGGAGGGAGGAGAGGGGCGAAGGCGGCGGCGCGGGCCGGGCGGGGTGCGCAGCCCCGAGGCCGGAGGGGGCAGCGCCCCGCGGCGGGCTTCCCGGAAACTGCAACCAGGCGGAGCCGTGCGTCCTCACGACCCCTCTCCCTGGGGGCACTTTAGTGGCGTTCGTTCCCCTGCCTCCAAACCGTGGGCAGGCGACCATGCACCGAGGCCGGGTCTTGCATTTACGAGAGGGACCCCGTCCTCCCCCGCCCCCTCCACTGTCGCTGATTTAAAGGAGAAAAAAAAATTGAGCTTTTGATTCATTGCTAGAGGTCCTACGAGGTAGGACACTCCAAAAAACAAACAAACAAAAAAATCCTTTTCCTACATTGTTTGGCAAAAGGCGGGCAGTCTGCAGTGATGTAATATGGGCTCTTACTTAACTGGGCTCCCCGCCCCCCAAACCTCTCTGGGGCTGTCGGGCTCTGTCCTTCTTTTCCAAGTTGTATTATTGCTCCTTTTGCTCTTAAAGCAAGAACAGTGTTTTCTGTGGAGACTTGGGAGACCTTAAACCTTTATAGAAGGATACATTCAGTTTGCCTCGCAAAACCCAAGTCGCCTTTTCTTGGACAATTTGAGAAACGCACGCAATCAGACCAAATCCATTCTCTGGGAGCAGTGCTGGCATTGAGAAAAGCCTTTGGTTTCCAGCCAGAAAGTTTTAAAGGTTTCCTTGCTTTTCACTCATTTGCTGAGGCAAAGCTTACAGATTGTGAGTTACAGTTGCTGGACGAGAACGTATACACTGTTGTGCGGTTTGCATTTATCTCACTGGATGCTGCATCTTATCTAAAGAGATGAAGATACTGAACGCACAACAGTAGTAAAATGCTTGTCTCGGGTCAGACTGATGCAGGGCTGGGTACGTTCTCTGTCTAGGGAAGAAATGAAGTGAACTCTGTCTTTTAGAAACAGCAACTTTATTCCTTCAGATTTATGTTATTTAATATGTGTGAAGTTTAATTTCACCGAATTCAGTGCTCACTGTCTTTATCCACTCACTCATCTTTCATAGTTCTCTATTCTGTTCCCAACTCGGCTCTAGAGACCAGGGGTGGGACAGTGAGCAGGGCAGGAAGGCCCCGGGGAGACCACGCCTCCCTGGGTCTGAGGCTGGGGGAGAGGAGTCGACAGAAGGCTTCTGGGAGGAAGTAATGGACCTGCAGAATGACCCAGTGAAGAGGAAGGGAGAGGGGTCCACGCAGAGGGAACCCCTGATACATAGGCCCTGACGAAGGGCAGTGTGGGTTTGAGACTCAAGAGTGGGAAGATGAGTAAAGCTATAGCTAGGAAGTCTGAGGGGGAGGGGGAGGGGGAGCGTGGGGTAGAAAAAAGACAAGTCTGGAAAAGTCAACAGGAGCCATGAAGGCTTTATAAAATTACATAAGGAATGTATTAGGTGTATGAATTACACACTTATATCCTGTCGCACTGAGTTTCGAGGTGGGTGGAAAATTTTGTTAACTAATCCATACTTGGGGAATAACTGTGCGTTTATTCCTTTCCGCATATTCTTAAATGCTTGTATCGATATAATGCTTTTGTCAATTTAATGTTATAATCCAAACAATCACCATTTACCTTAGGAAATTCTTTTTTTTTTTTTTTTTTAAGATTTTATTTTTAAGTACACCGAAGTTGGGGCTCTGACTTACAACTGCGAGATCAAGAGTCGCATGCTCCACTGGCTGAGCCAGTCAGGCGCCCCAGGAAACTCTTTCAGTATACCGAGCACCATTTTGGACAAATTTACTAAATCATTTACTGTCAGTAAATATTTAAAGGACACCATTAAATGATTTTTGTTTTTTTAAGTGTATTTATTTTGAGAGAGAGAGGAAGGGGCAGAGAGACAGTATACAAGTGGAGGAGGGGCAGAGAGAGAGAGAAAGAGAATCCCAAGTAGGTTCTGCACTGTCAGTAGAGAGCCTGATGTGGGGCTTGAACCCACGAAGCCCCGTGAGATCATGACCTGAGCCAAAATCAAGAGTTGGATGCTTAACCGATTGAGCCACCCAGGTGCCCTGCCATTAAATGAATTTTTAAGGTTCCTTTTAACTTCAAAGTTCAGACCTAACTTTCAAAATGCAGATTTTACCTGAAACTCACAATATTTCATTCTCCCAAAGATATTGGAGAGCACTATAGATGCAGTATTAACAAGTGTTATAATTATCTATAACTACAATTAAACTGTTATCAATATTATGCTAACAATATATTGTCATTCTCTAAGAAACTTTAAGCCTTGTGTTTACATGACACCTTTTGTTAGTGATGGGTTTCAAAGAACGTTTTACAACTGTAGTTGAATATCGATCGCATCAGTAAATTGATTGAAAGGAAGGATCCTTCTTAAGGACAACACCAAGGAACTGCTAGAGACTGTCTTCTCCATTCTGTGTCCACACATTTAGGTTTCTATTACTTTTCAGAATGACCTTTATTAACTGGATCATTAAAATACAATAAACATAAACTCTTCAGACCTCACAGCTGGTTCATACTCTAGCCATGGGCAGAGGAGGACAGGGGCTCCCATGATTTTACAGAATAATAATAAATCAATGAGCCAAGAAATGGCTCCCTGGGGAAACGGTAAATTAAGTAAGTTCACAACCTTGGGCTGTTCGGAGTGGTTTTGGCTCCTGGCTTACACATTTACATCTTTAATTATTCCCTTCCTAAGCTAACTGCACTGTTGGAAAGATAACCCACAGATGAAATAACATGGAAAATATACATCAAATTTTTTTTGGTTTTATTTTTAGAAAATATTTAAGTTCAATAGTTCTCTCTCTTCCCTAATTTCTTAGTGAATGACAATACCAAAGGGTAGCTTTGGGGTCTTTATCCTGCCTTTCACGATCTTTCCTAGCCCACCAAATCACCCTAAGTAGAGACACAATCCGTGTTTATCAAATGCAACATCAAGATAAGCCCCCCAGCTTCCACTTAGAACCCTGTTGAACTGCCTACTCTCTCTAGAAAAAACCTGGGCCTCTTTTAGGCCAGGCAGCACACCTGCCCTTTGAAAGAAATGCTAAATGCGGATCTGAGTTCTTCCAATGACTAAGAGACGGAGGCATTCGCTTGAAGGGCCGAAGCCTTTCTCCAAACCTGTTTTTCTACGGGTCTACTCATCGTTGTTAGGATTCCACCATCTTCCCAGTCATTCCAGCTGGAAACCCAAGAGTCATCCCTCCTCGGTCCCACTCACTATCCACCCCACCCCACCCACCAGCATGCCTGTTTATTCCGCCTTTCAAATACACCCCGAACGTGCACCTTCCCCTCCCTGTTATAATCGCCAGGATTCCAAGCCACCATCTTGCTAAAGCCATGAATGGAGGCTCCCCTGAGATATGCAGCTCCTCCCCCCCACCCTGTCTGTGCTCCCCCTGAAAGCCAGAGTGACCTCTTCACAATAACATATGACCTCATGTCACTCTTCTGCCAAAAGCCACCATTACCAGGTTCTTGTAATGATCTAGTCGTTTCTTCAAACTTATCGGGTGTATAATAATTATGCTTCAAGTGTATGGGTCTTTTAGTCCGTTAAGCATATCAACTCCCTTTTGGGGCGATGAGTCTTTGCACAGCCTTTTCCCCCTCCTGTTCTGAGGGTATTCTGACAGGTCTGACTCACTATCTGCTCTTAGCTTAACTGTCTCCTCCTTTCTTTCTTTCTTTTTTTTTTTAAGAATTTTTTTTTTAAGTAATCTTTACACCCAGCGTGGGGCTCAAACCCACAATCCTGAGATCAAGAGTCACAGGCTTTACTGACTGAGCCAGCCAGGCGCTCTCTAACTGTCCCCTCACTGAATCCCTCCCGCACACCCTCAAGTAGGTAGTGCCCCCCCTTTCTCATGTTATTCCTACCTTTGCGTTTTTCTCTTCCCGATCACAATTCTTCATTCTTGTGCTAACTTAAAAAAAAATCTGTTTTCTCCACCAGATTGTAGGGTTGTGGAAAAGGGCCCTGTCTCCCATTCTGGCCCTGGTGCCTGATGAGAAGCAAGCCCCGAAGCAGCATTTATTGAATGGATGGCACCACGGTTAACGGCTGAATGCCTTGTCTAATTTTATTTCCTGACGAGTGTGGTGTAGTTAAAAACGAAAGCCATTTTGCTCTAGAGCATAAAGGGCTTTGCTCCAGTGAAATCTGAAGTGCCTCTCGTGGAGGAGGCTTCAGTAAAGTTCATTCAACTCAGGTGCGCATAAATGTTAGCTTGGTTACAAACATGACACTCCTTTTCACGGGTCTCCATGAGGCATTTTAAGAATCTCATTTTAGGGACGCCAGGGTGGCTCAGTCGGTTAAGCGTCCGACATCAGCTCAGGTCATGATCTCACAGTCTGTGAGTTCAAGCCCCATGTTGGGCTCTGTGCTGACAGCTCAGAGCCTGGAGCCTGCTTTGGATTCTGTGTCTCCCTCTCTCTCTGACCTTCTACTGCTCACACTCTGTCTCTCTCAAAAATAAACTTAAAAAAAAAAAGTGTGACCTCATGTTATTAAAAAAAAGGAATCTCATTTTATCCAATAAAATGAAGGAAATAGGCAAGTCATCTTATTTTTGAGACCAAAGGCTCACCAGATCCAACAAAACCTTCGCGTTGCCACAGGACACTGGTGTGTTAATTACCTGAGAGACTGGTAAGAATTTAACCGTAATTACGTAAGCCCAGCAATGTGTTTTAAAAGACTGTTCAGCAGTTGTTTACTCGAGTAGTCTTGACCCCTAAAGAATATTAATTCTATCAATTAGGTTATAATTTAAATATTATAAAGACATAAATACTTATATAAATCAAGTTCAAAACTTAGAAGAAACTTCAAAGCAACATCTTTTAAATAGCCGTAGTTTCAAATCCCCATCAAAATACTAAAATTCATTGCAGTCCTGACCTCGGATGCTCTGCCAGCCCCGGAAAGGGG